AAGCATCTACTTGGAACAAGCTAAGCTAAGCAAAGTACAGGGACCACAGTTCAATCCCCAGCACCACATGCCAGCCAGCCCCGCCCCCTGGTGGGCTGAGCTGGCCACACACACACACACACACACACACACAAAATAAATAAATATTAAAAAAAAAAGGTAATTGATCATATAGGATACTAGTGAACCACCAACTCATTTTTTTTTTTTTTTCTTTATTTTTGGCTGGCTCATCCTATACTGGGGGCAGGGCTGGCATAGCATGTGGTGCCAGGGATCGAACTGTAGTCCCCTGTGCCTGCCTAAGCTTGCCTAAGCAGGCACTTTAGACTGCTGAGCTATCTCACCAGCCACCACTAACTCATTTCTGAAAACTAGTAAATATAAAGAATGAGAATTTAAAAAGAATAAAGCAAACAAAAGTGATAAAAGAAATGAGTAACTGATAAGAGTCAGAGATCTAAGAGAGTCATATTAGACATCTTAGACATCCAGACAAGTCTTCAGATGACTCCAGCTCCCTTTCTGTTATGATGGTAAGTGCCTAAGACCTCAAACCAGCACAGACAACCTATGAAATATGAGCAGTAATAATCTAATGTCTTATGTCACTAAAACAAAGGAGCAAGAAAGAAATTTATAAGAGATATCAACCTGGGGCCGGGGAGATGGCTCAATAGAATAAGTGCTTGACTGGCAAACACAAGGATCTAAGTTCAATCCCCAGTTCCACAAAAAAAAAAAAAAAAAAAAAAAAAAAAAAAAAAAAAAAAAAAGGTATCAACCAACTGCAATTTATGGCTGTATTTGAACCTTATTTTAAAAATGCATGGAAACCAGACATGTTGGCACTTGCCTATAATTCTAGCACTTTGGGAGGCTGAGGTAAGAGGATTGTAAGTTCAAGTCTAGCCTGGACAATTTAGCAAGGCTTTTTCTCAAAATAAAAAATAAAAAAAGACTGGAGATGTAGCTCAGTCAAATAGACTCATGTTCAATATCTAGTACCATAAAAACTTCTGTTTTTTTTTTTACCAGAGATCAAACTCAGCACCATGCACTTGCCAGGAGGCACTTAAGCTGCTGAGCTGTCTCTCCAGCCCCACACAAAAACTTCTTTTTAAAAAAGCTTTTAAAAGCTTGGGGCTGGGGAGATAGCTCAATGGAATAAGCACTTGCCTGGCAAGTGAAAGGACCTGAGTTCAATCCCTGGTTCAGCAAAAAAAAAAAGAAATAAATAAATAAAAATAGGGGCTAGAGAGATGGCTCAGTGGTCTAAAGCACCTACTTAGAACAAGCTTAGCAAAGCAGAGGGACCGCAGTTCAATCCCCCAGCACCACATGCCAGCCA